ATCCCAGGGAGTCGCAGATAAGGGTAATGGGGCATAAGAAGCCCAGCACAGACAGAACTCAATTGCCAAGTTGAGAGAAAATATGACCTCTGTTGTAAAATTACCGTTTGCTTTCTTACAGGACAAGTATCTTGACATTTCTTCAATCCGAAAAGGTCAGTTGGTTGAAAGAGTGTTCGACCACTCGCTACCAGCTTATCGTTTTAGCACGCCGGTGCTGACTAGCAGCAACCACATCCAAACAGACGGGCGCATATGCACCAACTTCCCTTAGATGGCTTCCATAAGCAATATTTTGGCTCCTGTACCTGCCAAGCATCTGTCACATTGAAATCTTGACGAAAACTCAACGATGGCCCTTAAAGGTCGAAAGCGCGTAGGGGAACTCATCCGCTTTATCATATCACTGGAATACGGCCAAGGTAGGAAGGAGGAATCAGGCATATAACAAGCCAGCATGCCTCACGTTAGTTAACTTTGTCGGCCGGCGGTTGGACCATCGGTTATTGTTGAAGCCTACTTGTGGCAGTCTGTTTTTGCAACCTCCCCGCACCTCCTGTCCTCAGAAACGTCAAAGAACGGAAGTCGGTTGTAAAGTCGCCTCCACTATTGATTGGAAATTTAGGCTAACAGGGTTCAGTGGTTTTGAAGGGCATTTTGACTATGGCAAGTGTCACAGGACCTCGTTGGCACTCAGTTAACACAAGGTATGTCATCTCCGGAGAAAGATAACCTTCAGGAAATCCTGAGGAGAAAGACTGTTGCAGTACCTTTTATACTTTTATATACTCGCCTACAGACACAGAAGTAGATTATCAAGCAATCGTGTGGAGGGCTTCCAGAGCTCGCCAACCAAACAAACAAGCTCCGTGGAACATCATTCCCTAAATAAATCGGTCACAGCAAGGTACCACTAATTTTCAAATTACCGTCCAGCAAAAGTCAACTTTACCTATTGAACTCAGACACTACTAGGGTTGATTCCACGCAATACGGCAATGCGCGTCTAACCACCAACCAACTTTACCGCAGGCAGTTGATCGATTTGTGATCGGGCAACTTTAATGAGTAAACATGATAGAGACGCCAGACACAACCGTCTGATACGCATAAGCCTCATGGTCCTTTCGGCTACGACACAGATCGGAAACATTAT